TTCCAGAGTTATGCTTGAACACACACACACACACACACACACACACACACACACACACACACACACACACACACACGACTATCACCCCAGGAGAGAATTTAAATTATATGGCAGGGTGCTGTCCTGAACCAAAACTGCTGCGTCGGTGAAGGCACCTTTCAGACATATAATTTAGGTCTGAAAGGAGACGCAGAAAACTGAAACTAATTTGCAGGTTTTATTGCCCTGCTGCTAACAAAATTTGTAGGTACAGCAAGCCGTCCTCCAGATCCTGAACTTGGACGAATCTGTTAGCTCACTTACAGATCCACGTATGACCTTTTTAGCAGTTTGGCTGTTATTGCAAGGGTGTCAAACTCAAGGCCCGTGGGCCAGATATGGCCCGCGGAGTGCTTAAATCTGGCCTGCTGGGCCAGCCTGGAAATAGCAAAGGACCAGCCCGTGGTGCCTTTGCCAGCCAAAACAGGGTGTTGGGTGTCAAAACGGGGTGTCCTGACCGAAAACGGGCCATGTGGGAGCCCCCATGCATTCTGTTTTGGCTGGCAAAGTGTTGCAGGAGGCCATCCAGCCTGTCCCCGTCCCCCCCCCCTCCGGCTGCCCATAGAGGAGAACTACAATGTTGCTCCGGCCCTTGAAGAAACCCAGTTTGACACCCCTGTGTTGTTGTGTCTGTTCCTGTGGCATTCTGACATGTTTTGTGCAGCCCCTTCCTTCACCTCCTTGCTGAAACATTTCGTAAGTGATGGTTCCATAAATTCACTGCGGTTGCAAAGATTTCTCGCTCTGCATCAGCCTTGCTGATGGATTTGATTGGAGTTCTAAACAGCCCCTGGCACGTTTCCCATGTTTATACCCAGACATAGAGATTTACTTGGGGGCCACTCCCTTGGAAAGTTTGCATAAAATAGCATTAAGTCAGCTCAGCTCCGCCTCCTCCTGTAAGCAAGGTTGATCCCATTCTTCAAAACAAACTCTTATTTTTGACTCCAGCGAGAAAAGAAAATGGTATTTCATAGGAAAGTCTACTTAATAAGTAATGCTGGTCATGAGTTCATCATTAATATATTTTATTGATTATACTAACAAATTATTTTCCTCTCCCCAAATCCCCTTCCATCATTGGTGACTGTTCTTTTCTAAGTCCACTTTTAATGTCAATACATTTTAATTATATTAATTATATTTTAATGTTAGTATTTTTTTAATATAGTGTAAAAGCTAATGTGTATTGCTGGTCTTTGACCGTAATAAAGATTTAAAGATTTCTAAGTCCAAGAGAGCCGCTGACTTGGGCAAATATAATATTGACATCCTCTCCCTGTACACAATTTGGGTAATCCTCAACTTACAACAGTTTATTTAGTGACAGTTCAAAGTTACAACAGTACTGAAGTGTCCAGGGGCTATACAACCCCCTTTTTGTGACCTGGCAAACAAAGTCACATTCACTTAACGACCGTGGCGTGTTACTAACTCAACTGCAGTGACTCTCTTAACAAATGCAGTCAAGATAGGTGGTAAAATGGGGCAAAGCTCACTTTTAACCCATTTCCTCACTTAGCGACATCAATTTTGAGCTCCATTGTGGCCGTACATAGAAGACTACCTGCCTATGGCTTCGCAGTGTACAAGTCACAACTCTAGTCATTTCACATTTCTTCTTTCTCTCATGTATAGACACCCATGGGTGCCTTTAAGAACATTTGCTAATCCATTGTGCTANCCTAACCCTAACCCTAACCCTTACCTTTATGTGAATCGGCTTGCTTTAATTTTATTTTAATTTTAATTTAATTTATTTTTAATTTTTTTCGTCGCGCTGCTGATGACGTCAGGTACGCGCTTTAATCGGGCACACTTTAGTGGACCGCGGTTTTGACGGGTCACGCAAATTATAGATCGCTGACTTAATTCCTGGACTGACCCTGCGCCGAATGTGCAGGCACAGCAGTTTGGCCTTGGCTTTTTCAGCCTCTCTTTTACAACTAATTTCCACGGAGGATTCCAGTGAAGCATCAAAAGTGGTGTGGTGGCCTAGAGGTGGGAGCTCCCGCCTCTTGATCAGGAGGTTGTGAATTCTATCCTAGATAGAGGCAGATATTTCTCTCTCTGGGTTCTCACACTGAGAATATATGTACTGGAGAGGAAAAAAAACCTCCGCATTGGTGACAGGACAGGCGTCTGGCCAGTAAGCACCCAGCTCCATTCACTTGCCCAGACTCTCCCCCCCCCTAAGGGATTATGGGGGTCATTAAAAGAGGAGCTTCCAGTGAAGCATCAAGTCAATCTACTAAGCTCGGTGTTAGTTGTATCCGTGCTGTATAAGAGCAGTTGCTTGTAAAGGATACAGGGGGTCCTCGGTTAACAACGGTGATTGGGATTGAGGACTACATCGCTAAGCAACAGAATCATGAAGTGTGATGTCATACGACTGCCCAAACATACGATGGCAATTCCAGTCGCTCCCTCCTTAGGTGACTCCCAATGAGATTGCAGCGTCCGATGGTCATGTGAACACATTTATGCCCTCCTGCGAACTTCCCCATTGACTTTGCTCGTCGGAAGCCAGCCGTGAAAGCTGCAGACGGAGATCACGTGACTGCAGGATGCTGCGATGTCACAATGGCGAGCTGGCCGCTTAAGCACCTGAATCGCAAGCACGCGACTGCGCAGGGACGTGAGGTCAAGCAATGGGCCGAGCGTCCTTGCTGGCTGCTCTCCTGCTGTAAATGCCTTGCCAACTCGTCCTGTCCAACTCTTGATAAAAACTCCAGGCAGCTTTTCCTGTTACAGGATGGAATCTAGTTTCCCATGTCTTCCCTGAAGCCCATCCCTTTCAGTTATACCTCTGGCTCAGAAAGCCTTACTTCCGTGTCAGCCAGATACCTTCGTAACTTTCTCCTGTTTTTCTTTGTTTGTTCTGTAGGCAAGTCCCCCGGTGTTTCAGAGCTTTTGCCAGACTTTCAGATAGGGCAAATGGAAGGTACTGCCTTTTTCTTCCATGCTTACTTTCTAAGTGGTTGGGAAAGGGTTGATTTCTCTCCCTCCCTATTATTTTAATTCCCCCACCTCCCCCTGGCATCCCCTCTCCTTGGATTTCTCAAAGTTAGAAGTAGAAGCGCTTGGAATGCAAAGGATTCTGAAATGCTTGCCTGTCTGTCTGTCTGTCTGTCTTCCTTTCTCTTTTACTGTGTGACCTTGTTGCAATTTTTTCCCGTTCTCCTCGCAGGTTGCCAAAAAATGTGCCCCTTGGCACCATTGCAAAAATGCGGGCTTTAGAGCAAAGGGTTATTGTACTGTGAAGCTTTGGGCCGAGTTACAAATGCAGTTCCATAGTCTGCTTCATACCTCTCACTTCCTGTGAAGTTGGGCATGCAAGCTAGGATGTAGCCGTAATGGCGCAGTGGTTAAGAGTGCAGTACTGCAGGCTGCTTCTGCCGACTGCCGGCTGACTGCAATTTGGCGGTTCGAATCTCACCAGGCTCGAGGTTGACTCGGCCTTCCATCCTTCCGAGGTGGGTCAAATGAGGACCCAGATTGTTGGGGGCAAGAGGCTGACTCTGTAAACCGCTTAGAGAGGGCTGTAAGAGCACCGTAAAGCGGTTTATAAGTCTAAGTGCTATTGTTAAGTGTTATGTGCTCTTCCCTTCCTGTATTGATTGTCCAGGAAAAGCTGGTGGAGCTTTCTTTATTTGGAAAATCCACTTCTGAGTCCTCTGTCCTTGTTCTATGGCCCCCTTGGTGATACCTTTTTGCTTAGTGTAAGTTGAGGATAAGGGTCTCCCTTGTTGGGGTTGATAGGCCCTGCTTGAAGAAATGTTCTTTCAAATCCCCCAGAGGTATATGGTAGGTGGGATTTTCCACATTGTCCCCAAGTATAAATTGTCAACTATAATAAAGTCCGGTGATCGATAAATAATAGGGGGAGGAGGGGGAAATGCTCAGAATCAGTGTTATCCACCACAGGGATATGTCTAAAGGAAACAAAATCAGTATGGGTAGTCCTCGACTTACAACAGTTTCTCTTAGGGACGGTTTAAAGTTAAACGGCCCTGAAAAAAAGGGACTTATGACCCATTTTTCCCACTTAACGACCTTCCCAGCAGCCCCGTGATCAAAATTCTGATGCTTGGCAACCCGTTGCTGGGTCCCAAGATCATGTGACCCCCCCCCCCTTCTGCGACCTTCTGGTAAGCAAAATCAGTGGGGAACCCCGATTCACTTAACGACTGGGTTACTAATTGATCCACTGCAGGTATTTACTTAACAGCCGAGACAAGAAAGGTCATAAAAGGGGGGGGGGAAAGTCACTTAACAAATCTCTCACTTAACAACAGAAATGTTAGGCTTGATTGTGGTCGTACGTCGAGGACTACCTGTGTAAAGAGGAATTGAGAAATTGCACCTGAAATGGCGTGGCCAACTGAACAGATCAGTTCATTCCAAAAGTCTGCCCGTCCTTTGCTAAACAAGGACCGCTATCTTAAAGCCAAGGGCAGGGCTCTCCAGAATTCCTTGGCTGGCTGAGGAATTCTGGGAGTTGAAGTCCACAATCCTTAAAGTTCCCAAGGTTGGAGACCCCTGCCCTAGGGGGACTCCCTTATTTGGGGTTTTGCTCCACTGGCCAGACTCAAATGAAGGGATTTTTGGAAATCTTATCTATGTTTTTGGGCGTCCTCCACTGCAGCCCCCCAGATCAGAGCATATATTGTATTTTTCGGAGTATAAGACGCACCCTCCACCCCCCAAAAAAGAGTCTGAAAATCTGAATACAGCATTTTTTGCCTCCCAAAACCCTGTCCCCTTCACCAAAATGGCCCTGCAGAGTCTTTAAGAAGCTTTTAGAGAGCTCCTGGGGCTGGGGAGGGCAGGAATTTTAACCCCCCAGCCCCCAGCAGCTATCCATGCCCTTTTTTAAACGAAAAACGGACCGTTTTTTGGCTCACCCCCCCCCCCCGCCCGGGAGCACTCTGCAAGCTCCCTAAAGGCTATTCGTGCCTTTTGGGGGGGGGGGAAACGGGCCTGTTTCCGTAAAAAACGGGCCGTTTTGGGGAGGTTTTTAAAAATTTAATTAATTCTCTTCAAAATCTTGCTGCGTCTTATACTCCGGTGCGTCTTATGCTCCGAAAAATACGGTAATTAAAACTCTAAATGTTTAGATACCAAGCGAGAGTGCGGTTAGTGAGATGCTGGGATTGTTTCCCCCCATCTTTATAGACGCTTGGTAGATGTTAACAAACATACAACAGCTGACTCTCTCGATACAATGGGATTCGTTGGTTGTATCTCTGAGGGTTGCTTCCCATGGTTTCTTCCTAGATTGGGTCTTTGTGGTCTTGGTTTTGCTGGCCTTCTTTCTGGTCTTCCTGCTCCTTGGAATCTGTTGGTGCCAGTGCTGTCCTCATACCTGCTGCTGCTACCTCCGATGTCCTTGTTGCCCAGAGAAATGTTGCTGCCCCGAAGCACGTAAGTTACTTTTACAGATTCTCTTTCAACTTTCCCTAGAAGTGGTTAAGCAGATCTTCTCAAAACATTTGTAGTTGTTCGGATCTTGTTGTGGCCCGCCAGCGGCCATCAGAGCTGGCAGCAGATTCGGACAGCGAGGAGGTTGGGGAGGAACACGGGCCAGTCCTGGAGTCTGGTGAAGGCTCTGATGAGGGCTCTGTGTCAGAGGCAGAGAGGGGGCCAGGGCTGTCTGACAGTTATCAGCTGCCTTCAGAGTCAGACATCAGTGAGGCAGATGAACAGCAGGAGCCTGTTCCCAGTGTGCNATTTACTTCCTCTGATGGCACTGAGAATTTAAATATCTTGCCTGGGGTGAGAAGCTAATCAGGGTTAGACTTGATAGGTATGTTGGTCAGGAACTTGTTTGAGAATGGGCAGGGATAAAAATTGAATAAATAAATGAATAAACTTGAAACGTGTCAGCTAAACTGGGAGAGTTTTATTTATTTATTTATTACATTTGTATGCTACCATCCTGCTAGAGGCAAGTAGGCTGCTTACAGACGTACAATTAAAATATACCATAAAACATTTAAAACTATAAATAGGGATCTTAAACTTGGAAATCTGCTGGAAGAAGGCGAAATGCTATTCGGTGGCCAAGGAAATTAAACATTTATTAACTAGATTTATAATGCCACCAAACTCGAATGTTCTTTTTACATCTTTGGGCAGTGTAAGAAAGCTATCTAAATGTTTTGTCCTCCTTTCAGTAAAACACGCAGCTTTCAGATTGGAGTAGAATACTTTTCTGCCTTGCACGGCTATTGATTTGGCTGTGTGTACAGATTTAAGCGATGTAGGGATCTCATGGATCAAGCTCAAATCTACTATATCCCACTTTGGACACAAAGCCAGCTGAGTGACTTTGGACTTTCTCTCGGCCCCAGGAAGGAGACAACGGCCAGCCACCTCTGAAAAACCTTGCCAAGAAAACTGCAGTCCAGGCAGTCTCTGAGAGTCGAACACAATTTAACAATAATAACACCACTTGTATATTTATTTCAAGGGATTTTCCTCCATTAAATATTCATGGTGTTGTTTTAACGTATTGGTTATCTCAGTTCTATAAGGGTTGGGGGGAGGGATTTGTAGTTTTGGTTCTGGTGTACCGCTGTATTACAGAAAGTGAAAAGATATTTAAGAGAATGACCTTTCTATATAATAGAAGGCTATGTTTGTAAAATAGCACATTACTCGTGCTTTTCGAAGTTACTCATACTTTTTGAAGTTACTCATGCGCCACAAGGTAGTTTATACATAGATACCATGATGTAGTAATGGGATGGAATGAACTAATAGCTAAAAAAAAAATTCCAAAGGGAGGAAATTTGGCTAATCATCTCTCTCCCACCCCCCCAGCCTTGCTGATATCTTGTAACAGCAAGGATACAATTAACTTACAACACATTTTAGCTGTTGGTTTATGATGCTACTAAAGAATGAGTAACCAGGTCACCGGAATCTGTTCTTATGCTATCCTGGGAATAGAACCAGAGTCATGCATTGCTTCAGATGTTGGGTTGAACCGAGAGACCCAAGGTTTGTTCCTCCTTCAGAAGTTCACACCGAATGGCGTTGGGCAATTCACTTTCTCACAGCTGGCCTACTTCACATCATTGTGGTTGAGGGCAAAAAGAAAAAAAAAGAAAAAGAAAGAGGAAACACCGTGGATGTTACTTTGAACTTCCGAAGGAAAGGTATATTATAACCATAACCAATACACAAGCATTTCATCAGCCAGCTTTATTCATTCTTTTATTCAAATGAGAAATGGATTTGGATAATAGGAAAATAGGTACATAATAAGGGATTGGCCTTCCTCATCCTTTCTCTACTCTTTTTTTTTTATCATGGGCACCTTCAGCTAATCCCTGTGAAGTTCATAAATAATTTCTTTCTTTTTAACCATCCTCAGGTTTCTGTATTGCTGCAGTGGTGCAACCTTGAGCAAAAATATAGGGAATTTAGCTGAAGAATATTCTTTATTTGAGCACGAGGAATTGTTTTGGTGTCCATCTTGACAGTTCCTTGTTTTGTTCATTCTCCTTGTAGATGCTGACCTCAACATTGAGCAGACTGCTTGGGGGGACAGTGGTGTTTATTACTGCACCGTGACATCTTCCCAAGACTTGCAAGGCAACAACGAAGCCTATGCTGAACTCATTGTATTGGGTAAGTGAGGAGACTCTTACGTGCATGCAAATAATAGGAAGGAGAACAGGATATCTTAATTACATTAGTCCCCTAAAGGTAGGAAGCCACTTCAAGTGGCCAACAGGATCTCGCTCACAAAACTAGCCGCATCAAGTTAAAAGGGTAAAATTTAGTTTTGATTTGCCTGCAGAAGGAAGGAGTTTACGGCATGCAGCTCCTGTTACTGAAAAAGTGTCCTTATTATTGTTCACACAGAAATGCACACAGCCTTGGTTCACACCTGCACCAAAGCATAGCGTGGTTGGCTTGGGTTTGGTTTTGCATAGCATATTGGGCAAATCTAGCCCATTGTGGTTTGTAAATCATGGTTTAAGGCTTTGCATGTTGTAGGGATCAATATTTGGCTTACGAAAGCAGGACCGATGGCCATTTTAGTGTGAAACACATACGTAACCATGCCAAGGAGAAAGCTAGCTACAGTTTTTCTCCCTTCTGACCCATTTTTTATTTATAGATTTGGGCTTTTCTTGAGCCGAGGTGGCGCAGTGGGTAGAGTGCAGTACTGCAGGCCACTTCAGCTGACTGCTATCTGCAGTTCGGTGGTTCAAATCTCACCGGCTCAANGGAACGCTGTTATCTTCCCACCAAAGGTGGTTCCTATTTTTCTACTTGCATTTTTAGGTGCTTTCGAACTGCTAGGTTGGCAGAAGCTGGGACAAGTAATGGGAGCTCACTGCGTTATGTTGCACTAGGGATTTGAACCGCTGAACCGCCGACCTTTCTGATAGAGAAGCTCAGCATCTCACTGAACCACCGTGTCCCTTGCTCTGTAGCTATAAGGCTTATTTTTTTGTAGCATGAACCCAGAATTCTGGCTTATTGTGACATGTAAGCAGTCAGTGTTATTGGCTGTGTTGTGTTATGATCCTTGTTTTCTTACTCTGATTGTTAGCAAGCAATGAATCTGTTTTCCTAACGGTGGTATATAGCTTTCCTCCCCATTTCCAAGTGGATATCATGATATTTGCTTCTTTTTGCTATTTTAAGCACTAAGGTTTCAAGAATTAACTACAGGATTTTTGCTGAAAAAAATACATAAATGCATTCCTGGGGGTTTGAACTGAGGTTGCCCTTGAATTCAGAACAATGAAACTGAATTAAATGAAGAGTAAAAGTATTAAAAATTCTACATTGAAATAACTCCTGCTACGCTAAAATAAATCAAGTAAAATTTGCTTTATCAATAATAGGCATTCAGCTAATTGGTCCAATTTTTCTGTTGGGGATATAAACTTTTGTTATTTTATTACTTTTAATACTTTTCAGGTTTTTTTTTTAAAAAGGTCCAAGCTAGATTGCAATATCCAGCTGAACATGAAAAACTAAGGGCATTTGAACTTAGTATCTGAGTGGTAGATCAGAAGGTGTAGATTCTGTCTCTAGGCTACATTGGGAAGTGATGCCTACACCCTGATTTCTACAAAAAGGCAATTGTAAACCTTTGCAGCCAGGAAAATTATATTACAAAATGACACGAAGGAGTCTTTGGAAAATAAAAAAGCTGTAAATCCCTTCAGCCCAGAATAGAAAGATGGCAAAATACCAGAATTTTGTTTGTGTTCCCTTTTAAAGAACAAAGAAAGTTAGGTGTGGCCAGATTCCATAACTTCCCCATGCTTCTTTTGGAGAAGAATAAATTTACATGTATTGGAATGCAAGGAGCAATTTTCAGCAGAGAAACCTTGCTTTCCCTTTAAAGTATAATAACCATTATGCACATTTTTCAGAAAAAATGTATTTCTAAATAAGTGGAGAGAAAATTTTTAGTTTCAGCGTACATAGCCTTGAGCTATAGATCTTTGTCTAACATGTAGTTTCCACAGCAAGACTGACTGGGGAATTCTGGGTGTTGAAGTCCACACATTTTAAAGTTGCTGAGCAATACCTTATATTCCATGAGAAGATAATTTGGTAATCTCCAGATGTTTTGCACCAGTTATCTGGTCAGCCATAGAGTATTGTTCTTCATAGAGGAACTAAAGAGCCTCTTGATGCAGGTGAAGAAGGAGAGTGAAAAAGTTTGCTTGAAACTCAACATTAAGAAAGATCATGGCATTCAGCCCTCTAATTCCTGGCAAATAGATGGGGAAGAAATTGAGGTAGTGACAGACTTTATTTTCCTGGGCTCCAAGATCCTCGCAGATGGGGACTACAGCCAAGAAATGAAAAGACACTTGCTCCTGGGGAGGAAAGCTATGGCAAATCTAGACAGNAGTCTAACTGCTATTGCTATTTTAAGTAGGAGGGAAATTTCAGAACTACCATCTTCCCACTCCCAATAAGTTTGTGTTCTAAACTGAAACACTCCAATCTACTCTATTCTTATTCCCCATCCCCCTATATCTGTATAGGTCCAGCCTGAGAATTAGAACGTATATGTTTCATGGCTGGGACTTTCTGCCTCCTTTACTGTGTCCTGGCCTTGCACTGTCTGCTTAATTTCCAGCTGGGTCAGTCCCAATGCCTTGCCTGCAATAGCCCAAGCTGCTACTTCTCTCTCTGTCACCATCTTTTTCATACCTAGGTGTGTCTGAAATGGTGGGAAGCCAGTATTGTTCCCTTTCTCCTTTTTCATGAGCAATGTTCAATTGGCCGACTTTATAACATTGATCCTGACTATGAGAGACTTTTATGACTTATCATTAAAAACAGGGAAGAGCTATGTAGGCCTTCCAAATCTTGAATGTTCCTTGCTAGAGATGCTGTTCAAAAGACCAGGAATAATAATAAAAAAGGGGGGAATT